CTGCGTATATATATGCACGGAAAGAATAGGGACGTACGTTTGGTGGAATTCCCTTGATCACTGGGATCAGGAGAATATACAAGAACAGTGCAACTGTCAACGAGCCCGACAGTGCCGATACGCCCACCAATGGTCTATAGCGGAATGAAGGAACGACCGACGTCACGCAAGTTGATGAACGGGTGTCAAAGAGACGAACCGGGCGAGAGGAGCAGCGTCTGCCCAAATACGTGCGAGTATGGAAGGGGTGTGTAGCCAATAAGTGATAGCAGCTCCAGGAAGTACAAAGCGAAGCTGGCGAGCGAGATGTCCGGAAGGCATAACGAGTGGAGTGAATGAGGATGGGTGACCCACCGCCACGGTGGGTTGTCAGGTCAGGTTCAAGTCAGAATCGTAATCACATGTCACCAGAACTAGGACTCTGATGACTCCGGATTCAGACCTCGGACTCTCGGCTCGGTCCCAAAGCTGACCTTCAAGAGGTTCAATCCGCTAAGTCTCCGCGAGGCGACGGTTTACGCATTATCGTACTACTTGTGGCTAGGGCTGTTTACAACGCAATCCATTTCCCATAGTTTGTCCCCTTCACAGACTCAAACCACCACAGAAACCACAACGCTCGCTAGGCACACTGCGTTCATTATACCCAAAACTGTCCCAGGTGTGCTTCGGGCAGCTGAGCTGGCCTTCACAGACGGTGACTGGCTCGGCGACACACTACCGCCCGACATCTTCGCCGCTTCCGTCTTGGGACTGGGAGGACCAGAAGTCGCAGCGGCCGCTGTATTCTTGGGGGTAGGGGAGCTGACGGCTGCCGCCTCTGAACTCGAAGAGGTCTCGCTCTGAGCGGCCGCAGCGACTCCGGGGTAACCCTTCGCGGGGCTGCGAGACGCGTGAGAGCGAAGTCAAACACAAAACAAACGTTGCCTACGATGTTCGATCGGGGGCGTTTGCTGAGCCTCCCTCCATGACCTCATTGTTGACGCAGCTGGATCGAAATTTTAGAGCACAGTGCTATCCATTTATACCCATCCTAGCGTACCTTGTGTCACTGCCCCCTTGAACGGTCGTGGGTGCAGAATACGCTTGCTGGCCATTTGCGTCTTTCAAGGAAACGGTGCTTTCAATGCAGGTGTCAGTACGTCGGGTGCAAAATTTTATATTATTCACACACAAGCTTGTGTTAGGCGGCAGGTCGACTTTCTCCCAGGTGAAGCTACTCCCTTGCTGCGAAGGAAATTGCTTAAGCTACGATAACAAATCGCATAAATTCCCAGTGAGTGATTTGAAGGAACACGTGAAAAACGGCTTACAGCATTTGCATAAGGCTGACCCGCTGATCGGGGATCAGTGACCGTCACTTCACTGAGAGAAAAACAAAAAATGTCGAACCAGGGATAAGGGAGAGATAATATGGCGGTGAGGAGCCTTCTGTAGACCAGGTAATCTGCAGAGGCTCTGGACAACAAATCAACACGTAAAATCGAACTATCGACACAATTGCTTACGGCAGACGACTGCAGATGTCCTGTATGAATGAGGATAAGTTAGCGTCGTACGTTGGGCGGGAAGAAATTGTTACCCACGGTGTATTTACAGAATATCCGTATGCGAGGGCAACAAATGCGGTGAGGACGACGAAAGGATTCATGGCGGGCTAAAAATGTCACAGAAGGGGGTCGTTAAAGACGTATAATCTAGGATAAAAATGATGGGGTGAAGGAAGAGAAGGAAGAAAAGCTAGTTGAAGGGAATGAATGCCGTTCTCCTCCAACTTAACCGCGGTTGGTGAAGCGGAGTTCGGTGGGCGCCGATGCGTTGGAATTCATTCAAACCAGTGATGATGAGGGGGGATAGATAAAAGACAATAGTAGTGCAGTGTTATTGGGATACAAGTGCAGTAGATAGCTTCCACGTAAATATAGATCAGCACTTAGAATAAAACAGCGAACGACGAGTACATCGACCCTCAACCTTCTTTAGTCGAGTCCAAGCACTTCCACCACGACGTTGGCCGTCATGATCACCACATAGAAGCAGATGAGAAACACGCCCCACTTGCGCGGGAGGAAGTAGTCGTTCATAGGGACAAATATCATAGTTGTGACGAGGAGTGCGAGCAACCCCACCGAGCTCACGAGCAAGGTGTTGGAGAATTGCAGCTTGTAGGGTTCAGCAGTGTGGTGGATGACATACGAGCCGGAAATGCCGATGCCTAATAAGATATTGAGCATTGGCCCGCCGAAGCAAGCCGAGAAACCCATGACGGGAGCGAAGACCTAGGTAAACAGCTGAGGATTGAATACCATGGCACAGGCGAGATAAACACGTACAGCCACGGTCATGTTAGCCACTAAGTCAGCGAGTGAGTTTCCAATGGCAAATATCGTCAGACCGATGATTGCATCCGACAGTCCAAAAACGAAGCCGAAAGTCTACGGACGTAAGTTTATACCCAATGTGGTCATCCTCACTTCACTGACCTGTAAAACATTGACGGTCTCGTCTGCAATAGCCATAATCCAAACTATGGCGACAAGAAACCCCATTGAGCAGCGAGCTAGAAGCCACCCTCGATGATGTCCATTGTCCGCAAAGCATGCCACAGACACCCCAGCTGCAAGGCCTGCCAACCCTGTCGCGAAGGCTAGCCAACGCTCATGCACCGTACCCTCTGTAATAGGTGTCAGATCTCTTCACTCAAGAGAAAATAAGCCAGAGATGTATCAACGTACTAAAAAGTACGGCGACGCAGAATAGGGGACCTAGAGTGCACTGAAGGGCCATAAGCCATTTATTGAACTGCAAACCATGCGCCTCTTGTATCACTTCCTCGGCAATAAGAACACGCTCGGTGCCCTCCTCCTCGAAGGTAATAAGGGTGTCGTTTATGCTTGAGGCCTTTTCATGGCGGGAGCCTGTGCTGTCGTGTGGTCCCACCACAACAGGTAGGGTGATTGTCAACGCAAACACCGCAGGGGTAGCAAGGACAGCCGCAACCTTTCCAAGCAAGCTCTTTGCGCGGAATCCGTGCAGTGTGGGGAAAAGGATGTGGCACGCGCGCACGAGAACGAGGCCCACGCCCTGGCGGTGTGTTGCCACGATGTGATGTGCGACGTCGTCGTCATTATCGAGACGTGGAGATGCGGGTGTATGGGAAATCTCAGGAATCTGTGGCTCAGCGTCACTGTCAACGAGACCGAAAGAAGCTTCTGCCGGATGGATGTCTGAATCGTCGGGAGGAAGAGAACTCGCAGGAGGTAACGGTGAGCGATCATCCAAGGGAACATCGGACGAGGTATCCCAAGTATGTGCACTTCCGCTATGGATGGAACCGCGTGAGCGCGATCGCGAATAGCCATAGCTATGGTAGTGTCCGCCAGGGTACGGTGTTAATGGGGGTTCGAAGGCGCTTAGGGAGTACCCGGCAGCATCTTGCTGCAATGACGAAATTACGCTTCGAAATTCGAGCGCCCCCACTAGAGAGAAGGATGGCATCGTGACCAAGCGTGGAGATGATGATGGTGACCTGGAACCGGCTTGCGAGTCCGGGACGTGTAGATGCGAAAGTTGGGTCTGAAGTTCGAGGCGTGACAACGACGGTAAACGACGACGGTCAGCGTCAGGGGAGGGCAGCAATGGTGTGTCTGAAGGTGGATGAGTAGCTATGTATTATATAAGACAAGGCCATCAGTACAACGGTGGGGCTTACGGTCATCCTGATATGGCTCATCGTCAGTGTAGAGTGGTATGCCTTCTTCAGCGTACTCGCCGCGTATTCGCGCCTCTAGCAGGCGCTTCTTCTCCTGCCTGTGTTCCCACCAGCTGCCCACGACAACAGTGAAGACGTACACGAAATACAACATGACGAGGAGGGCAGCTTCCCACGCATATATCCACCCGTCAAGGAGAATGGCAAGTAGGACAGCGACAGCAACTGTAAAGAACGTGGCATCCCGCAAGAAAGGTCCTCGATTGACTCGAAAAGGTTTGATTATGCACATGGAACCTACGACACAGGAGACAATGAACGATGCCGCGCCCAGGAGTTCCCCTATGGCCAGACTTCCCGCATTTGAACGCAGGGCAGAAAACGTCGCAAAGACGTCCGGGCTACCGTTTCCAAATGCCAGGAAGGTGACACCTGCGACGTTCTCGTCCAGGTTTAGAATATGTGCAATTGTTGCTAGATTTGGGCAGAAAAAGTCCGAGGCGCTGATGCCGAGGGTGGTAAACAGGAACATGAGCCAAAGCAGTAGACCAGCAAACACGAACGGCCGAGCGGCGAGACTGGCGCAGAAATAGGTTTGCAGGTACGGGATGGATAGGAACGTGTCTGATGTAGGACACGAGTCGGACACGACCCTGCATTGATGTTCGACAGGGACAGCTGTAGGCTGGCACTGAGGCAGATTGAGAATGGAAGTGTATTTATCCATCTGCGTAGCCACGTACCTTCCCCCCACCCTCGTCATAGTTGCTGTATTGCTCGCTTGCCAGCAGACCGAGCAAGCTCCGCTTAGAAAAATCGGGGCGCGGTGATAAGAGCGCATGGCCACGATGTACTTGACTGTGCGAGCCTTGTGACCATAATACGGCGTTGACGAGCAAGAGGGCAACGAACGCGACTTTGACTGTGACGTACGAATCAGACCCCATTGGAGACCTCGGCTAACGGATTGTTGAGGCACGAAGAGGCGCCAACTCAATAGCGCTCGCCATATATAGCGTGGAAAAATTATGTCATCCACCTTTGGCCCTGCTCGCTCGGCCGTCCCCGGCGTCCCGTCGTTTCTACTGTACCTTCGAGAAACCTCAATTGAGGACAGGGAGACGAAGATAAACCGAAACAAATGTCTAATGTCATTTTGGACGAATAAAGGACGCGCAGCTCTTGAGTGGGGCAGGCTAGGCTATTTCTAGTTCATCCGTGCTTGGTAATCAGGGCACTCATGAATCTGCCCAGATATATATTATACAAACTGAAAAATAATAATAAGCCTTCGATAGCTCAGCTGGAAGAGCGTGGGACTGTAACGGATAACTCTGGCAACGCTATCCCAAGGTCGCTGGTTCGACCCCGGCTCGAAGGAACTTTTTATCTTGTTTCAACGTGCAAGAACCATTAGTACTTCCGTCCCAATCTATACTGAACGGTTACCTGTTCGTGTCATCATTCTCAGTTTTCAGCTCCATGCAAATTGTCGTGTGCTAGAGCGGCATGCTTTTTGATAGTATTATGAATGCTACAATGGGGATCCGTGCCATTCACCAAGCTGAGCTACAAGACATCTACACTGCTCGTATGTAGAGCTCTTAAAGTCCCATCCAGCTACTCCTGCCACCGGGATTATGTAGCGATGTCTGCCCAATCTTGACGATACCGGTGTCTACAGTAGAGATTCGCTCTATTCGTTTCGTTAATTCCTTGGGTAATCGATCGCCAGAAACCAGGAAAGGATTGTCGATCGCATCGACCAATGGACTGGGCGGTACAAACGGCGTCGATGTCGCCGTCACGAAGGACCCGCGTCCGTCAACCCTGGGGACGGGGCCCAGTTTTGGCACTTCTGTTGTTGGCGGCCGCAGCACCGGGAGGAATGACTCGGCATACCACTCATACCACACTTGGCGCTGGTCCGTGAGCCGCCAAATGGAGACTTGGAGCTCGGAATTGCTTGGTAAGTATAACGGTTCCTAGCGACATCATTTGAGAGGGGCGGGCACAGCACAGTGATGCACGAGCTTGCCTTGAAGGGGAAAAACAGTGGGAACCAACTCAACATGTCCTTGGAGACAAGATCCATCCGGTGCGGATGAATGCTGAGTCCGATCTTTCCATATAATACAGCCTCGAAGTAGCCAGCTAGCCCATGGAGCACGCCGGCGTGCGGAATATGGAAAGTTAACTTGGCAGACCGGATGTTGTGGCTATTCGTGAATGGTAGCCCTGGAAAGACACGTAAAACAGTCAGCGTGCGTATGACCACCGGCCAGTGCGGGTTTAGGCACGACTTGCCTCGTTCGTCGAGCACTACGTCACGTTTCGGGTGTTCGAACTCCCAACATTCCTGTATTTGCGGGCCGCAACGATCTCCGTCATTACCATTACCCCCCTGACCACTGAGAATGTTGACTGCCTGAAACATCACAACGTAAGGCGTCTCTAGCGCCGTACTATCCTTTCCTGCGTGGACCTCGTTATAAAGTTTCGAAGAGGATAAAGGCGCCAGATATGCCGAGTACGATGAGGGGATTGAAATGCCATTTGCTGGAGATAGGCCATGAAACTGGGCAATGGGAATGAGAGAAATCTCAGGGACCCGGACTTACGTTTCAAGAAACGCATTGCGCCGTCTAGGCATTCCGGACAGAGTTCGTTGTCGCCAAACGAACCCAACAGCTCGCTGACAATAATGTCCGCAAGTTCCGGAACCACGAGGGACCTCATGTCTCCAAAAAGCACATCGACGTTTTCCCTCCATTCGGAAGCCTTCCTTTTCTGCAGACTGAGGAAGGGTCACGAGTACAGTACTCGACCTGGTGACCTTTTTTGGTAACGGCCACGGTAAAACTCACGTTACGTAGGCGCTGGGATTCTTCTCGATAGCGTAGACGAATACATTACGCTTGACGCGCGTAATAGCGCTCAGACATCGGGCAACGAGGGGGCCCCTTCCGGCTCCGGCGACGCAAACGACTCTGAGGCGGGGCGAACGTCACATACGGCGCAATGATTCTCCACATCGGTACTCACATCCTATCCGACGGAGGCCATTCAGACAGGGCCGCGTATACTGCCTATAGCAGGTCATGGCGCTTCATTTATCCCCTATCAAAGTTGGCACTTACTTCTTCATATCTTTGATATTTCACGGGGTCTTGCTCGAAAGTCTGATAAGTGATGCCCTGCAAGTTATCCATAAGGGGCTTTGGTGGAATCAGCAACGTTGCTCATGTGACAGCGCTGGTCCAACCTGTAGAGGCGCTTGCAGATAGTCTTGATATCCCCGCGCGAAATGCTCCACCGTGCCTGTCGTCCTGGCCTGTACCACGGCGGGGCTGGTTTTATCTAGGTGGCGCACATATTGCAGATAGGCGGCCTCGCCCCCTTTTACGTGTAAGCCTGTTGTAGTATCTGACAGTATGACTACTGGTCGGTGCTAGACGCGGGAGGGGTGAGAACATAGCTCAGGAATAGGAATATGCTCAGAGGAGCGCCCGATGCAGGCTAACCTTCATGACGTCGCGGATGAACGACTGCGATCCTTTGGGTAGCACAGGGTATCCCTTGGCATTCGCGATGAACGACGATGCCGGGATGAATAGGTGTCTGATGGGCTCGGCAGCCCAACGATTCAGGACGCCCGGTACTGACGGCAGAGGCGGCACGAGGTCCAACGCTAGAGAGCGAAAAACCAGTCAGGCACATTCCCAGAGTCCAACACATCAAAAGCATGTACTTAAGGTTAGGCGCGGGTTGTAAGCACAGATGGACCGTATGGCATCCCACATCTCCCATGTGGCATTTAATTCAGCTTCTGATGCCTTCGTGGACGGTACAGCCCTGGGCTCTGGTGAACGAATCGGAGTTGATAGAGCGAACGGAGATGGGGGCTGTGCGGGAAGGTTGTCATGGGAAGGGCCATGAGCAGAACGCGGAGACGAGTTGGCTTGAAAGATGGAGGGGTCGTAGATGGGAAGTCGTATGGAGAACTGCATGTAGGGCGTCCGCGCCAGGCAGGTGTTGATAGCACGCCCATAAGCTGCGATCTGATCACGGTTGCGGGGGGGCGGGAAGATCGCAGTGTGCACGTCCAAGTATGACGCGTAAGATAGCTCCTGTTGCAAGGCCTGGTAAAGTGACCAAAAGTCAGCGATAAGGATTCGCCGGGGGGCGTGGGTCTCACGAGAATATCCCCAAAGGTCGAGGCGCAGACAATGGACACCCACAATTTCAGAGTCGTGTCTGACCCAGTTATCCGAGGCATCCAACTCTAACCAGTCTGAGATCATCACGATGGCGCCTTCGGCCTCCTCTGATCCGTACGATCCGTCAGCAGATGTACCGCCGCCTGTGAGAGCGGACATACCGAGGCGTGTCATGGTCACCTCGCCCAGCTCGAACGCCGGGTTCGCCCTCCAAGTTTCGGCGCGCAGTTCGGCGCTCTCCCCCCTCTGGCCGTCAGGGTCGGAGGATATGATACACATATCTCTCCACCGATCCTTCCATTTTGCAGTGGCGAGCGGGACGCAGACGGTATCGTATGCCCTAGATCGGGCATCATCGATGAAAAGAGTAACCGGAGAGTCTAATTGCGAGCGGTTTTCAAGATCACTCAATGAAAGGAAGGTCGCAATGGGCACGGGATTTTCCCAAGAAGTCATGGCTACGCGCGGCGCGCTTGAGACTTCCGAAGGTGTATCTAGGACTTCGGTGCAGGGCGTGGTATGATGATGCAAACTGAGATCAGAACGGTCTTTCAGGCCTGTTCGAGAAAAGTGACTGGTTGCTACGATCGCCTAAAACCGGGATGGGCCTGTCAGTGGCTGAACAGGCTTTGCTCCATGCCACTTGGATTTACCTCTTTCAAGTTATCAACAGTCTGATGCCGCTTCAACTGTCTCAGATCGGATTGATGGCAGGTTTGATCTTGTGAACGTCCATAAATTTTTTGAAGACAACCGGTGTTTCTTCGGGGTATGGGCCCGCTGCAGGTTGATGGACGTTCTTCGATTCCAGTCGGAGAGCGGGATGACCCCGGTATATTAAGTAACCTCCCACGTCGGCCAACTTGAACTCGCGCAGAGGACCTTTCAGAGACATTGTTCGATTCAATAACAGGATGACTATATTACGCTAGGCTGTTTTGCTGGTTTCCTTCGGTCTGGCCTTCTTTGGTGGGGCTGTGCTCTCTCGAATCCTGCCGCGGCTGGGGCCAATTCAGTTCAGTTCCCAGGCCGCACCGAGCATTACATTGCGAGTACACCGCTTTATGCCATGATTAATAAATCGACGGCGGACTCGGATGTCTTGATAGTCTTACTATACTAGCAGAGACGTTACGTACATGGCAAAGAACTTCAATTTGCCAAGTTTCGCAGTCCATCTGTTATGGGATCTGAACCCCGTTACGGAGTTTGCACGCTAAACCGAAGTTGCCGCGGAAATCACGCTTTACGGTAATCAAGTCCTTCCTCGTGCCTGAATGTTTTAATTTCCAGGGACATGCGATATACAATCCCCTCTTACCCCGCAATTCGTAACTGCGTTCACCTTTCGTGTCGATTACGCGCCCGCTCCTTACAGTAACCACATGTCTGGGCTCATTTGAAAAAATATATGGCAAGTCGTGTAAATTGAATGATTAACGGGAAAATTCATCTCACAGCTGACCATCCGGTTTGTCTAACCGCCTACGTTTTGTGGAATCCACATCTCCGTTATGGGAATCCCTGTCGCGCGTCTCCACGTCATCTCCGTTCGCCATGGTGTATCCGGTGACCATACTTTCCACGACGGCACGACTGACAGCCTGTCTCAGCTCCTCTTCATCTCCTGCCTCTTCCCTTTGCGCGATGTCATTCAGCTGACTGATGAGCGAAGAAGTGAGGCGTTCTGATATCGCCTCTTGTGAGTGTTGCGAGGGCTGCGTCACTTGACTGGAAACGCGATTTTCGTGCAGCTCGTGCCGAGAATCAGCAACACGGGCTGCGGTGACAGAATTCAAATAAGCCGCCACTTGCGGAAATTCTTCTTCAAGCGTGTCGGCAGGCTACTGACAGTCTCAGCTCAGGGGAGAGCAGATGGTAAGAGCTTGGCATACTGTCAGTCCTTCATGATTCCGCCAGGTAGGGTCTGCGTCGTGATCGAGGAGAGTCTGGGCGGTTTCAATATTCTCTATCGTGTAGAGAGGGGTATCGCCATCTTCATCTGTTACATTCACGTTTCCACCTGCGGTGCTGTGGTCAGCTGAAACAAGCCGCCATTAACCTTGCGTACCTCTAGAGATAAGGTATGTCAAGATATCCAAATGTCCGTAAGATGCGGCGGCATGCCTTTCGGGAACCGTATAAGTACGAAGGAAGCGAG